TGATTACCTGGTCCTTGACTGTTGTTTTCCTCCTGATGTGGCTGTACAACAGTTTCGGGTCAGATTTGGCTTTCGCTGCTATGTCATTTTCATATTGTCTTTGGGCCTCCCTTCTTATCTGTGCATATTTGTTTCTGGCTGTGTGTGTGTGTGTGTGTGTGTGTGTGTGTGTGTGGTGTGGGGTGTGTGTGTGTGTGTGTGTAGATCCTGCCTCCACTACATCGCTCTCCAGATTTTTTCACTTATTGACAATTCTAGTGGTGAAGAAATACTTCCTAACATCCCTATGACTCATCTGAGTTTTCAGCTTTCATTTGTGGCCACTTGTTCCCGTGTTCTGTCTCTGAAACATTTTGTCTCTATCCACCTTGTCAATTCCTCTTAGTATTTCATACTCTGTTATCATGTCTTCCCTATCTCTCCTTTCCTCCAGTGTCGTCAGGTTGAGTTCCTTTAATCTCTTCTCGTAGAACATACCCCTTAGCTCTGGGACTACTCATGTTGCAAACCTTTGCACTTTTTTTTAATATATTTACCTGCTTGACCAGGTGTGGGTTCCATACTGGTGCTTACATATTCCAATATGGACCTGACGCGCACGGTGTGCAGTGTCGTGAATGCTACCTTAATTAGATGTCGAAACGCTATTCTTAGGTTTGCCAGGCGCCCATATGCTGCAGCAGTTATGTGGTTAATGTGCACCTCCGGGGATGTGTTTGGTATTATACACACTCCAGGATCCTTTTCCTTGAGTTAGGCTTGCACTCTTTGACCCCCGATCATGTACTCCATCTGCGGTCATCTTTGTCCTTCCCCAAGCTTCATGACTACACTTGGCGGTATTCAACTCCAGGAGCCATTTGTCAGACCAGGATCGCAATCTGTCCAGATACCTTTGTAGTCTTACCTGGTCCTCGTTCTCTTGAATTTTCCGCATTAACTTCACGTCGTCTGCTAACAGGGACACTTCTGAATCTATCCCATCCGTCCTGTCATTCACGTATACCAGAAACAGTACTGGACCTAAGACTGACCCTTGTGGAACCCCACTCGACACACTCGCCACTCTGACACCTCGTCACGTATCATCACTCATTGTTTCCTTCTTGTTACGTATTCCCAGATCCATTTCCGTGCTTTTCCTGCTGTACCCGCCTGCTAGTCTAGTTTGTCTACCAATCTCTTGTGCGTAACTGTGTTGAAAGGCTTCTTACAATCCAAGAAAATGCAGTCAAACCACATCTACCTCTCTCCTATCTTCTGTTATCTTGTACAGCTGTAGAAGATTTGTGACACAGGATTTTCCATCCCTGAAACCATGTTGTTTATCCTGTATGAGCCCGTTCCCTGTATGAGCCCGTTCCTCTCCTGATAATCTTCTCCATGACTTTACATATTGTTCATGTCAGTGAGACTGGTCTGTAGTTAATGCTACCTGTCTGTTCCCTTCTTAAAAATTGGGACTACATCTTTTTGTGTGTACTCACCTATTTGTGGTTGCAGGTGTTGATTCATAGCTCCTGGTCCCACCTCTTCTTTGATTTCTACTAGGTCTACTCTCTCCCTGCTCCTAGAGCTTTATCGTACCTCTTCATAAACCTAAGTATGGATTCTATCTTTACATCACTCTCCAGACAATAATAGTGCTGAAGAAATACTTCCTAACATCCCTAAGACTCATTTGAGTTTTTAACTTCCAGTTGAGACCCCTTGTTGCTGTGTTTCATCTCTGAAACAGTCTGTCCTTGTCCACCTTGTCAATTTCACTCAGGATTTTATACGTCGTTATCATATCTCTATCCTTCAGTGTCGTCAGTGTCCTCCTAGGACTGGGACTAGTCTTGTTGCAAACCTTTGCACTTTCTCTAATTTCTTGACTTGCTTGACCAGGTGTGGATTCCATGCTGGTGCTGCATACTCCAATATGGACCTGACGTACACGGTGTATAGTGTCTTGAATGACTCCTTACTTAGGTGTCGAAACGCTCTTCTTAGATTTGCCAGGCGCCCATGTGCTGCAGAAGTTATTTGGTTGATGTGGGCCTCAAGGGATGTGTTGCGGCCCCTGCCAAACTAGCGGTTAAATAGTTAACCTGCCGGCCGGCAGTACCACTGGGTGCGTCATCAAACCCAATGTGGGGGCTGCTGAGCCGGCCTTAGAGCAGTAAGAGCCTGAGTGCCTCACGGTACACACCTAAGCAGTAGGTACCTGACCACCGAAGGGTACACGTCTACTGGCTTTAGTAACAGTATGTACCAGAGCGCCTCGCTGTACACACCTAAGCAGTAGGTACCTGACCACCGAAGGGTACACGTCTACTGGCTTTAGTAACAGTATGTACCAGAGCGCCTCGCTGTACACACCTAAGCAGTAGGTACCTGACCACCGAAGGGTACACGTCTACTGGCTTTAGAAATATTATGTACCTGAGCGCCTCGCTGTACACACCTAAGCAGTAGGTACCTGACCACCGAAGGGTACACGTCTACTGGCTTCAACATTAAGTACCTGAACTCCTCAGGGTACACGTCTATGCAGTAGGTACCTGACCACCGAATCGTACCTATCTACTGGCGTTAGAAGAACCGCTCACCGCAGCTCACTGAGTCTGTTGGCCTCAGTTACTTGACGGCCGCATTCAGTGAGCTTGCAGCATGGTGTTTGGCTAGCGGTGTGTCAACCGCCTTTGGAGAGGATTTACTGGACTACCGGTGATGTCTGTGGACTCACCGTCTACGTTGATCAACTGTGGGCCGGAGTCGTCAGATGCTGTTTAGTGGGACATTACATGAAGAAAAGGTTGGAGTGTTACACTGAACTGGGCCAGGACCGTAGTGTGACACTGAGGGACGTACGATGGAGTGGAACACTGAGATATGCACAGGACCGTAGTGGAACACTGAGATGAAAAGGGTGTCGTGGGACACTGAAGATGGCCTGGTTGTAGTGTACACTGAACAGTGTCGTGTGACTGACTTCGTGTCGTGAGAGGCAGTTGATTGTAATTTATTATTATAAAAATGTTATTTATAATTTATTGTTTTAGCATAGAGATATATATATATATAGTGACAGTAGTGTCAAGAGTTGTACCCTGTGTAGGGTTATTAATTATATTTTAGTAAAATGCTGATTATAATTTATTATAGTAACATGTACATATTATTATTATATCATAGTTCAAATACCTCTAGACCAAAGATAGTTGATTTTTATATATTAAAGATTAATTTATATTAATGTGTGTATTTATGTATCCCGAACTCTTTATTACAAAAGGAGTAAATCTTAATACCATCGTCTTTTAAAAATTACTTTTTTTGTAATAGGATGTGTTCGGTATGATACTCCAAGATCCTTTTCCTTGAGTGACGTTTGCGGCCTTTAACCCCCTGATCCATTTCCTGTTCCTGACTGCTCCTCTACCTTTTAATTGATATGCCTTCAAGAAGATTATCCTTTCAATACCTTTAAGTTTAAACTATCAGACAAAACTGCCAACTCTTGGCTATTGAACTACCCTCTTACGTGTGCCTCCACACGTTGGATTCGCGATCACTTTGGTAACATGATTATCACTTAGGTGTTTACTGTTGAAGGTAATTTAGAGTTACTTTTACACAACATTATATTCTCAGTTGCCACCATTATTCTAGAATGTTTATTGAAATATCAACCGAGTTGTCGGTACACATGATCGTAATTTTTGTTGACTGCTGCAAATTAACACATCAAGAATGGATATACAGTTATTCTGTTCTCTCTCATTGGTGAATTTCGTAGAGGATTCTGTTGTTGTTGAGAAATTCGGTGATATCGAGTCGTCTGGGCACGATTACCAGGATATTCACATAATGTAACCATGTTGAACCTCTCAGAATATATAGTTTCAACTTCTCGTTCAGGTATTCCATATACAGATAAGCCATGACTGTCCCTGGTGGGTGAAACGTCTAAAAATGTCCCTGTACTGCATATGTATCTTATTTGCATACTTGTCAGTGCTAATCACCACTTGTGATCACATGTTTTGTTATGCATTGTATGGCCCAATGTATTGTAGTTCTTTGACCAAAAAAAAATCCTACGACTAATACTAACATGACTTATTTTTTATACAGATGAACTAATGCTCGTTATAAAAGTAAGGAGCTCATTTGATGACAAAATAATGGTAGTCTACAAAAAATTTGAGAACGACTTTTGTATATTTAAACACGTAGCTTAGACATAATGTTTAGCTTTAATTATAGAACGGCTGTTGTATATTTAACCATATTGTTTAATGCATATACATACAATTAAGTACAGTTAGACTGTAACATGCAAGCAATTGCCATCCCTGTGGTGGGATATTGTGTTAGTACCTACTTCTAGACCAGTTGCCGGCCAGGGTCATCTTGTGAGCCTACTGGTTATGTGGCGACCACCTCCGGGGTGTGCATTCCTCACTTCACTGCATGACTATTAGGAGCGGTTGATTATCTTTTTTTTATTTGGCTTGACATTGAGCTTATAAACACTCAAAAAGCTTTATCAAAAAGCTAGTTAACCTTTGTGCTTTACACACTGTGTCATGTAAGCTTGTTACATGATTAGATTATACGCCCCACTATATTGGTACTTCGTACTCCATTTCCCTCAAGTCTGTTGAAGACTAACACTAAATGCTCCCATTCAAAAACTTCATCGAGTCCGTGTATCTATGTTGCAGCATCATGTATCTTTTCGCTTGTTACATTGACTTAATCTTAAGCATAGATTGATATTTTGAGGTGTCATACCAACGGCCCATCTATGAGACTTGTTGCAAATTATGTAGGTTTGTAGCTAGCTTAAACTTGTGGCTTCTTGTACTGCTGTGTGCTAGCTGATTGTTTCAACTGGATTCTAATACTGCTGTGTGCTAGCTGACTCTCAGTATAAACTGTTGCTTATATATAATTAATGTCATTTCCTATCACAAAACATTATGTTATATGTGTGTGTGTTGTTGCAGGGTGTGGCAGGGATTGGGTGGTTCCCATTGCGTCAGCACCCCCACCCTAGCTGCCTGCTCCACCACCGCCACCACTACGGCTCCATCAAGCTCCCGACGTTTATTCTCGCCGCTGGTAAATATCCCGGCAGTCTCGCTTCACTACACTGGACGAAGACTATGGCGGGAAAAAATGAGGAGGTGTTGAAAGAAGCGTTTATGACAAAAAGGTCCCAGAACAAGAGGTCTTTCACTCCCACCAACTGGAAGGATCGCTGGTTCGTCCTCTCACCAGAAAATCTTATATACTACGATGGGGACAAACAGGTGAGTACTTCTGACTTAATGTTTACTACGTGATCTCTTCGTATATGATTTGAGATGCCAACATGCCTTTACAGTGTTGGAGGATACATATTTGTTGTACAACTTTTGTTGAGGGTGATAAAATATTTTAGCTTGTGCATGAGGATGTTGAGTCATTCTTACCTCTCATGTTTTTCTCGGAAAGATTAACACTTGGCCTTTACTTTAATAGAAAATTGAAGTGTAAGATTTATGGACAATTTTAAGAGAAAGTTGCAAGGTAATGGCAAGATCAGCAAAGTTGTCTGGGATGTTTGACTACCATACACCTGAACAACAGAATATTACAGTTAAGAAGAGCAAATAAACATGATTATAAAGCACTCGAAAAGCTAACTTGAGTAAAATCAGGTGAATTGAGTATATTAATAGATGGTTGGGTGCTTCTCTTGCCTCCCCACTTCCCTCGTGCGTGATTTGTGTCACATTTTAATGGTTTGTTCTCAACCTCACCGCTTTCACTTGTTTGCTTAAGTCGTGGTTTGTAGTATTACCCAAGTACTTGTACGCAACTCTTAGGAAATTTAAGGCGAGTTTCAATATTGCACTTTGTTCAACATTTGCAGTTTGTTTTTATTTGCAGTTTGTTTTTAAGGGATGCGAAATATTTTTACATGCAGTGAGTGCATTTATTGTTTAGTGTATGTGCGAATGGTTTTCGCGTGGGTAATCGTTGTGTGTGTGTGTGTGTGTGTGTGTGTGTTTTAGCGAGCGCTATAACAAAGGCGATGATTGGTAGATGAGTTGCCGATTTCTGTATGTAATATTAGTCCATTATGATTTAATATAGAGCCTGAAAATAAATATATAAGGAATATTTTCCTGTGTGCTCGCGCGCATGCGTGTGTGTTTATGGTAAGAGGGGGGGGGGGGTGACGTGTGGACGGAAGTGCAAAATCTTGTATTTCATAGTGCTGAATAACCTTTTGCTTTCGGTGGTGTGTGTGTGTGTATTTTAAAGCTTTCTAGTAGAGGTATTTTAGAGTACAACAACTCGACCACTATTGTTCGGTGAGTAGCAATACTGTCAGTGAACATTATTACTCATCAATAACGCTACGTTACTTCTGCTTACTGATAACATTACTGCTGCTTACTGATTACATTACTGCTGCTTACTGATAACATTATAACTGTTTACTGATAACATTACCACTAGTTGCTGATTACATTACCACTGATTACAAATATTACATTACCACTGCTTATTAATAACATTACCACTGGTTACTGATGACATTACATTACCACTGCTTATTAATAACATTACGTTACCACTGGTTAATAATAATATTACATTACTAACGCTTATTGATAATGTTACGTTACTGCTGTTAACTGATAATGTTACGTTACGAATACTTTCTGGTAACAGGTTGGAGTTCATATGTTCGGCTGCGGGCACTAACTGCTTGATTAATCAGACCAGCAGCAAGGAAGCCTGGTCTAGGACCGGGCCGCTGGGGCGTTGACCTCCGGAAACGACTCCGTAACCTCCAAGTACTATTGCACAGCCTAACGTTATATTATATAACCTAAGTTCCTCTCGTAATCTCCACCTACGCGCCCCACCCACACTTCCCACCTACACGCCCCACCCACACTTCCCACCTACGCGCCCCACCCACACTTCCCACCTACGCGCCCCACCCACATTTCCCACCTACACGCCCCACCCACACGCCCCACCTACACACCTCACCCACACACCCCACCCACACACCCCACCCACACACCCCACCCACACACCCCACCCACACACCCCACCCACACACCCCACCCACACCACCCCACCCGCACACCCTACCCGCACACCTCACCCACACTCCTCACCCATACATACAACCCACCACCATATACTTCTTTTCCATCCTTACACATCCCATCCTTCAAGTATACCCACATATGACATCACAACATAACTCTAGAATAGGAGAGCTTGAGTCCGTGTATAATGTCACTACCTTTCCCTCTACAGGTTGAGTCCCAGTTTCTAAGACACTCTTGATCTCTTGAGTCCCGACTGAGACACTCTTAACCTCATCATATATACAATGGCTGAGTACCAGCTTTGAGATATTAAAAGAAATGTAGAGAGATAGTTTAGTGTCCTCATAGTACATTATTTAAACTACTGAAAACGCCTCAAAATACTTGGAATGTACTCTCTGGAGCGGAAATAGAGGGATACCTAATAGTAGTCTATACACTACTATTACAACATAGTGGAGTGAGAGATATAGGAGGAAAAATGTTAAATAGACCATTTGAAAAGCAAGGGCACAATGGGCACAATAAGAGAAAACTGTGGTCCAAGACTCTTCAGTCTGCTGCCAGAAAATATCAGAAATATTGATAGAACAGATCTTTGAAAGAAAAATTTATCACTATCTTCGTCAAGAAAAGATCAACCAGGCTGTGATAGCTGTTTGGGCCAACAAGCCGCTAAAATCAACACCCCTTGGCACAATAAAAGAACATTATATCAACATCCGTGGTCCCAGACTATTCAACAACTTGCCAGAAGATATCAGAAACACTGCCGGGAAAAGTGTAGAAATCTTCAGTGAAAAACGTGACAATTTTTACCAAGGGCCAGATCAGCCAGGCTGTGATGGATATATTTGATCAGTAGGCATCCATCAGAAACAACCTGGTTGACCATGCAAGAATTAGACAAGCCTGGCACAGGACCGGACTGCTAGAGTAGGAAAACACTTGAAGCTCATCAAAGGTGTACCGGAAAAAAATTTGGTATCGTTCCATCACTAATAAGAATCCTCGGAACCAATCACTGCTATATTAATTTGTTTTCTAATTTAAATTGTTCGTAGGTGTACTCAAATTAAAGCTAAGTAGGAAGACGTGTAGTCTACCCTGGGTAGACAGGAAGGGAGGTAGACGAAGTAGAGTCGTCTAGTCTACCCTGGGTAGACAGCAAGGAACGTAGATGTAATATAATTGTGTTAGTCTACCCTGGGTAGACAGGAAGGCAGGTAGATAAAGTATAGTTGTGCAGCAACTGGGTAGACAGGAAGATAGCCAGGTGTGAGCAGCAGGAGTGTGTGTGCAGGTGTGGTCATGTAAGGTATGTGATGGCCAGGTGTGAGCAGCAGGAGTGCGTGTACCGGTGTGGTCGTGTAAGGTATGTGATGGCCAGGTGTGAGCAGCAGGAGTGTGTGTATAGGTGTGGTCGTGTAAGATATGTGATGGCCAGGTGTGAGCAGCAGGAGTGTGTGTGCAGGTGTGCTCATGTAAGATATGTGATGGCCAGGTGTGAGCAGCAGGAGTGCGTGTGTGCAGGTGTGGTCATGTAAGATAGGTGATGGCCAGGTGTGAGCAGCAGGAGTGTGTGTGTGCAGGTGTGGTCATGTAAGATGTGTGATGGCCAGGTGTGAACAGCAGGAGTGTGTGTGCAGGTGTGGTCATGTAAGATGTGTGATGGCCAGGTGTGAGCAGCAGGAGTGTGTGTGTGCAGGTGTGGTCATGTAAGATGTGTGATGGCCAGGTGTGAGCAGCAGGAGTGTGTGTGTGTGCAGGTGTGTCAGTAAGTATGTGATGGCCAGGTGTGAGCACAGGATGTGTCAGGTTGGATCATGTAAGATGTGTGAGACCAGGTGTGAGCAGCAGGAGTGTGTGTACAGGTGTGCTCATGTAAGATGTGTGATGGCCAGGTGTGGCAGCGGAGTGTTGTACAGTGTGCATGTAGATGTGTGATGGCCAGGTGTGAGCAGCAGGTGTGTGTGCAGGTGTGGTAAGCAACATTTACACCCTAACAACTAAATGAACAACTATGTATCCAGTAGAAAATTAACATTAAAGTATCTAGCAGGAATGAATATATAATCATCTAATAAGAATGAATAACTATCCAGCAGAAATGAACAATAAGTTTCTAGCAGGAATTAACAACTAAGTTTCTAGCAGGAATTAACAACTAAGTTTCTAGCAGGAATTAACAACTAAGTTTCTAGCAGGAATTATCAACTAAGTTTCTAGCAGGAATTAACAACTAAGTTTCTAGCAGGAATGAGAACCAAAAATCATATACGTAAATTGAAAGCATAAACACAGCAGGGCAGGTACACGCTCACACCGACCCTCATTCTACTGTAAACAGAAAGGAAGCACGTGGATAAACCAGGTTAAAAAAATTAAATTCCAGATGAGGTGCCACGACTGAGCATCTACGTCTGAACAGGTACGATAATTAAGAAGAGATATTGTGAATATTGGGCATACAAATTGTTGAAAATTATATATATATATATATATATATATGGTAGTAGGTTGGTAGACAGCAACCACCCAGGGAGGTACTACCGTCCTGCCAAGTGAATGTAAAACAAAAGCCTGTAATTGTTTTACATGATGGTAGGATTGCTGGTGTCTTTTGTCTGTCTCATAAATATGCAAGATTACAGGTATGTCTTGCTACTTCTACTTACACTTAGGTCACACTACACATACATGTACACGTTTATTTATACACACTCATCTGAGTTTTCTTTAATTTTATCTTAATAGTTCTTGGTCTTATTACTTTTCCTTTTATATCCATGGGGAAGTGGAATAAGAATCTTTCCTCCGTAAGCCATGCGTGTTGTAAAAGTCAACTAAAATGCCGGGAACAATGGGCTAGTAACCCCTTTTCCTGTAAAGATTACTAAAAAGAATAAGAATAAGAAATTTGTCAAAGTGGGAAGTCTGAATGTGCGTGGATGTTGTGCAAATGATAAAAAAGAGATGATTGTGGATGTTATGAATGAGAAGAAGCTGGATGTCCTGGCTTTAAGTGAAACGAAGCTGAAGGGGGTGGGAGAGTTTCAATGGAGAGGAATAAATGGGATTAGGTCAGGGGTTTCAAATAGAGTTAGAGCTAAAGAAGGAGTAGCAATAATGTTGAAGGATAAGCTATGGCAGGAAAAGAGGGACTATAAATGTATTAATTCAAGGATTAT